GGAGAAGGAGGTGAGGCTGCAGGAGAGGGGCTAAAGGAGGGGCGTACCTATGACTGGCTGACACAAAATAGGGACGAACAGAGGAGGGTCTGGAGGAGGAGGGGCCAGGAGGGGAATGGGAGGAACCAAGTGAGGGGGAGGCAGGGTCAAGTGATGAGGGGAGGGGCCAAGAGAGGAGGAGGAGGAACCAGGGGAGGGGGAGGGGTCAGGGGAGGAGGAGGGATCAGGAGGGGGGAGGGGCCATGATAGGAGGAGGGGCCAGGAAAGGAACGGAAGGAGCCCGGGGATGGGGGGGAGGCAGGGTCACGTGACGAGGAGAGGGGCCGGGAGAGGAGGGGGAGGAGTCAACAGAGAAGTAGGAGAAGCCAGAAGGGTCAGATGAAGAAGAGGAGCCAGTGCAGAGGAAAAGGAGAGGAGACTTGGAAGAACCAGGGATGGGGAGAAGACAAGACAGCAGGGGAGAATGAAAGCAGTCAGAGGGGAGAGACAGATCAAATGGAAGGGGTGGAGTCAGTGTGAAGGGGCGGGGCCAGGGCGTGGCTGGAGGGCTGCCCCTGCGCTCACCTCCTCTCATTCTTCCCGCAGCGACCTGGCCCTGCGCAACTGCCTGCTGACCTCTGACCTGACCGTGCGCATCGGAGACTACGGGCTGGCCCACAGCAACTACAAGGTAGGGCTTCCTTCCGTCGGGGTGGGGGCTGTGGGGTGCTCTGACTCGCCTGACACCGCCCTGGTTCCCCCAGGAGGATTACTACCTGACCCCAGAGCGCCTGTGGATCCCGCTGCGCTGGGCGGCGCCTGAGCTCCTCGGGGAGCTCCACGGGACCTTCATGGTGGTGGACCAGAGCCGCGAGAGCAACATCTGGTGAGGACCACGGGCCGCGGGGGCCGAGGCAGGCCAGGAAGATGGAAGGGTTACTAGATGCCACCGGGTCTACAGATGGGGAAACTGAGTCCTGGGCGGGTCAGGGCTGGGCTCTGACCTCTCTCTGCTCTCTGCAGGTCCCTGGGGGTGACCCTGTGGGAGCTGTTTGAGTTTGGGGCCCAACCCTACCGCCACCTGTCAGACGAGGAGGTCCTCGCCTTCGTGGTCCGCCAGCAGCACGTGAAGCTGGCCCGGCCGAGGCTCAAGCTGCCCTATGCAGACTACTGGTGAGGGCTAGCCCACTCGGGGCTCCTGGCCTGCCGCACCCCACCCAGGATGGTCCCAGCTCTCCGTCTCGTTTCCCACATCACCCACATCCCGTTTGCCCTCCATACCCCTCAAGAGTGAAGAGGAGCTGTCCCCCCCATTTCTGCCAGCATCTGCTACTTGCAGGGGAACACAGGCAGGGAATGGCAGAGCTGTGATTTGAACCCACTTCATCCTAAGAGACCCCTGCTTCTTACCTGTCTGATTCCAGTGCTCACAGCCCAAACGGGGACACCACCACCCTCACCAGCTGTTCCCATCTGCTGCTGTGTCCCCTCTGCCTCCAGGTCCCTGTCACCCTCTCTCTATGGGCATCTTACCCCCACCCCTGCTTCTTTGGGTCTCAGTACCTAGCTCCCCAGCCCAGTTACCTCCTCTGAATCTCTGTCCTCTTCTGTCCCCTCTTCTCCCTGGATCCCTGCCCCACTTCTTGGGTCTCTGTCCCCCTCTCTCTGGGTCTCTGTCCCTCTCTCTCCTTTTTTTTTTTTTTTTTTTTTGACCGAGTTTTGCTTTTGTTGCCCAGGCTGGAGTGCAATGGCACGATCTTGGCTCACTGCAACCTCCGCCTCCCGGGTTCAAGCGGTTCTCCTGCCTCAGTCTCCCAGGTAGCTGGGATTACAGGCAGGTACCACCACACCAGGCTAATTGTTTGTATTTTTAGTAGAAACGGGTTTTCACCATATTAGCCAGGCTGGTCTTGAACTCCTGACCTCAGGTGATCCACCTGCCTCAGCCTCCCAAACTGCTGGGATTACAGGCATGAGCCTGGCCCTCTGTCCCTCTCTCTCTGGATCTCTGTCCCTCTCTCTCTGGGCCTCTGTCCCTCTGTCTCTGGGTCTCTGTCCCCCTCTCTCTGCATCTCTGTCCCCCTCTCTCTGGTTGTCTGTCCCCTCCCTGGGTCTCTTTCCCCTCCCTGGATCTCTGCCCTGCTCACTCTGCCCCACCTCTCCCCAGGTATGACATCCTTCAGTCCTGCTGGCGGCCACCTGCCCAGCGCCCTTCAGCCTCTGATCTCCAATTGCAGCTCACCTACTTGCTCTCCGAGCGGCCCCCCCGGCCCCCACCGCCGCCACCTCCACCCCGAGACGGTCCCTTCCCCTGGCCCTGGCCCCCTGCACACAGTGCACCCCGCCCGGGGACCCTCTCCTCGCCATTCCCCCTACTGGATGGCTTCCCTGGAGCCGACCCTGACGATGTGCTCACGGTCACCGAGAGCAGCCGCGGCCTCAACCTCGAGTGCCTGTGGGAGAAGGCCCGGCGTGGGGCCGGGCGGGGTGGGGGGGCACCGGCCTGGCAGCCGGCGTCGGCCCCCCCGGCCCCCCACGCCAACCCCTCCAACCCGTTCTATGAGGCGCTGTCCACGCCCAGCGTGCTGCCTGTCATCAGCGCCCGCAGCCCCTCTGTGAGCAGCGAGTACTACATCCGCCTGGAGGAGCACGGCTCCCCTCCTGAGCCCCTCTTCCCCAACGACTGGGACCCCCTGGACCCAGGAGTGCCCGCCCCTCAGGCCCCCCAGGCCCCCTCCGAGGTCCCCCAGCTGGTGTCCGAGACCTGGGCCTCCCCCCTCTTCCCTGCACCCCGGCCCTTCCCAGCCCAGTCCTCAGCGTCAGGCAGCTTCCTGCTGAGCGGCTGGGACCCCGAGGGCCGGGGCGCCGGGGAGACCCTGGCGGGAGACCCTGCCGAGGTCCTGGGGGAGCGGGGGACCGCCCCGTGGGTGGAAGAAGAAGAGGAGGAGGAGGAGGGCAGCTCCCCAGGGGAAGACAGCAGCAGCCTTGGAGGTGGCCCGAGCCGCAGGGGTCCCCTACCCTGTCCTCTGTGCAGCCGCGAGGGGGCCTGCTCCTGCCTGCCACTGGAGCGGGGGGACGCCGTAGCAGGCTGGGGGGGCCACCCTGCTCTTGGCTGCCCCCACCCCCCCGAGGACGACTCCTCGTTGCGGGCAGAGCGGGGTTCCCTGGCCGACTTGCCCATGGCCCCCCCCGCCTCGGCCCCCCCCGAGGTTCTGGACCCCCTCATGGGGGCGGCGGCGCCCCAGTACCCCGGGCGGGGGCCACCTCCCGCTCCCCCCCCCCCGCCGCCACCTCCTCGGGCCCCCGCGGACCCGGCCGCGTCCCCCGACCCCCCTTCGGCCGTGGCCAGTCCCGGTTCAGGCCTCTCGTCGCCGGGCCCCAAGCCGGGGGACAGCGGCTACGAGACCGAGACCCCTTTTTCCCCCGAGGGAGCCTTCCCAGGTGGGGGGGCGGCCGAGGAGGAAGGGGTCCCTCGGCCGCGGGCTCCCCCCGAGCCACCCGACCCAGGAGCGCCCCGGCCACCTCCAGATCCGGGTCCGCTCCCGCTCCCGGGGCCCCGGGAGAAGCCGACCTTCGTGGTTCAAGTGAGCACCGAGCAGCTGCTGATGTCCCTGCGGGAGGATGTGACAAGGAACCTCCTGGGGGAGAAGGGGGCGACAGCCCGGGAGACAGGACCCAGGAAGGCGGGGAGAGGCCCCGGGAACAGAGAGAAAGTCCCGGGCCTGAACAGGGACCCGACAGCCCTGGGCAACGGGAAACAAGCCCCAAGCTCGAGCCTCCCAGTGAACGGGGTGACAGTGCTGGAGAACGGGGACCAGAGAGCCCCGGGCATCGAGGAGAAGGCAGGCATCGAGCAGAAGGCGGCGGAGAATGGGGCCCTGGGGTCCCCCGAGAGAGAAGAGAAAGTGCTGGAGAATGGGGAGCTGACACCCCCAAGGAGGGAGGAGAAAGCGCTGGAGAATGGGGAGCTGAGGTCCCCAGAGGCCGGGGAGAAGGTGCTGGTGAATGGGGGCCTGACACCCCCAAAGAGCGAGGACAAGGTGTCAGAGAATGGGGGCCTGAGATTCCCCAGGAACACGGAGAGGCCACCAGAGACTGGGCCTTGGAGAGCGCCAGGGCCCTGGGAGAAGACGCCCGAGAGTTGGGGTCCAGCCCCCACGATCGGGGAGCCAGCCCCAGAGACCTCTCTGGAGAGAGCCCCTGCACCCAGCGCAGTGGCCTCCTCCCGGAACGACGGGGAGACAGCCCCTGGCCCCCTTGGCCCAGCCCCCAAGAACGGGACGCTGGAACCCGGGACCGAGAGGAAAGCCCCCGAGACTGGGGGGGCGCCGAGAGCCCCAGGGGCTGGGAGGCTGGACCTCGGGAGTGGGGGCCGAGCCCCAGTGGGCACGGGGACGGCCCCCGGCGGCGGCCCCGGAAGCGGCGTGGACGCAAAGGCCGGATGGGTAGACTACACGAGGCCGCAGCCACCACCGCCACCGCTGCCACCGCCACCGGAGGCACAGCCGAGGAGGCTGGAGCCAGCGCCCCCGAGAGCCAGGCCGGAGGTGGCCCCCGAGGGAGAGCCCGGGGCCCCAGACAGCAGGGCCGGCGGAGACACGGCACCCAGCGGAGACGGGGACCCCCCCAAGCCCGAGAGGAAGGGCCCCGAGATGCCACGACTATTCTTGGACTTGGGACCCCCTCAGGGGAACAGCGAGCAGATCAAAGGTGAGGAGGCTGCGGGGCACAGTCAGGGCTGAGGTCCGGCTGTTTCCGAGGCTGCGGAGGGTGAGTGTGGGTAAAGATGTCGGATCCGGCTGGCAGTGATGAATGCAGGCCCTGAAGCCCGCACCACCTGGGCTCACATCCTGGCTTGGTGCTCTCTCTAGCTCTTTGGCCTTGGGCAAATGTCCTTGCTGCATGGTGCCTCAGTTTACTCATCTGCCAAAAACGGATGGCAGGGTTCGAACCTACCTCATAGGGTTGCTGTGAAGGTTAAATGAATGAGGACGTCCAAAGCACTTAATCAGAGCAGGGGATTCAGTAAGCACTTGCTTTTATTATTGCAATTCACTTAGACCAGGGGTCTCAAACTCATGCCCACAGGGGCCAGACGACATAGGGAAATGGATGAAGCATGCTGGGGAGGCAGAGTGGGGCTTCAGAAGAAAATGCCCTGTGTAGACAGGGCAGCCACTTCTCAGGAATGTGCACCTGGTGTTGGCGAATCTGCTACTTTTCCCTTTTAAACCAGAGCTCTGGTTTTTGTTTAGTTTTGTTTTTATGGTTGCAGCCAATTCGAAGGAAGCCTGTCTGTGGATGGCTCAAGGCCCCCAGGCTGCCAGCATGTGTGCGGGATTGGGCCTGTAGTCCCCAGCTACTCCGTGCCGGAAGAGCCTGAAGGGCAAGGAAGAACATGGCGTGAACCCAGGAGGCGGAGCTTGCAGTGAGCCACGAGATCAGCGCCACCTGCACTCCAGGCTGGGTGACAGAGCGAAGACTCATCTCAAAAAAATAAAATAAAATAAAATAATAAATATATATATTAAATGAAGGTAAAAATAAAATAGCTCTTGTTTAGATGTGGACATAAGGAAATACAGTTCCAGCAGAATCTCTGGAGGCGCAATTTCCTTAAATATGGTGGTATGAAAGTTATTAAGTGGCTGGGTCCGTGTTTTAATACTGGCAACCTCACAGCCACGCTCGAATGGAAACAGTTATCATCCTCCAGAGAGGACCTGTTGGCTCATGGGCAAAGGGTCAGGAATTGAAAGATGGGCCGTTAACTCTCTTGGGTACAGTTTTTGAGTGCCATTTTTCATTCCTCAAAGCTGTGGTATCCCGCTCTACGTAAATACACTGGTGCGAGGTGCCGCAGGGTTGAGATGAGTCTGTTAAAGGAAGTTTGTAGCGGCTAGGCTGATAGTGCATTGATTGAAAAATCTGCAGCCGCAGGCAGCAATGCGAAAAAGTTGTGTGAGCTGAGCAGCTACATATTCACATGCTGGCGCGCTCTTCCTTCCGAATGCGAAATACATGGGGGTTGGATTAGAACTGTGGAGTTGGGGGAGCGGCCCCCCTCCTCATGAGAAGCCCTGATGGTTTTCTAAGGAGCTTTTTCCCCTCACTCACTCTGGCACTCTCCTTTGCTTGAAAAGAGGCAGCACGCATAGCCCTGCTTTTTTCCCAAGTGAACTTACTACCATCCATGTGAACAAAAAGGATATGTTTGCTGATCCCCTGCTAATTTCCCTTTCGAGACGTCTTATTCGCTAAATTTTTAGAAGGTATTGAGTCACTCTCCTCTGAACCTTTTTATGCGGCTCTACCCATCCATAGCTATAGCCATGAAGACTCCTCTAGACTGAGTCCATTAAACCCTCTTTTCTTTTATAAATTACAGTCCTTGGAGTACAGGGTTTTTATTAGCAAGCATGAGGCGCAGTGGGGCTTCCTTCCCTACATTGTACATCTGCCTCAAAAAATGGCATCATTGGTGTGGTCAACTTCCATGAGAGGGAGAGGGTGATACTCGCCTCAGCATACGTACACGGAGCAACTATCACGGGGGACCAGCCGTGAGAGTCCAAACATGGATGAGAGAATTAATACTCTGTCTCACACATAATCAATCAGTATAACACGCTAGGCACCTGAAGTGGGTTCTAATTGTTGACCCAGATAGATAATAGTTCAGCTATATCTACGGTGCCAGATGGTCTCATCTGAGGCAGGAGAATCGCTTGCAACTCAGGAGGTGGAGGTTGCCAGCGAGCCGGATTGTACCACTGCACTCTCCAGCCTGGGAGACAAGAGCGAGACTTCGGTTTAAAAAAAAACAGGCCGGGCCGGCGGTGGCTCAAGCCTGTAATGCCCAGTCACTATTGGGAGGCCGAGGCGGGTGGATCACCGAGGTCAGGTAGATCGACCATCACCTGGCTAACACAACGGTGAAACCCCGTTCTACTAAAAAATACAAAAAAATAGCCGGGCGGGTGGCGGGGCCTGTAGTCCCAGGCATACCGGGAGTGCTGAGGGCAGGAGAATGGCGTTGAACCTAGGGAAGGCGGAGGCATTGCATGAGCCCGAGATCTGCGCCACTGCACTCCAGCTGGGGTGACACAGCGCAGAGCTCCGTCTCAAAAAAAAAAAAAAAAAAAAAAAACAAAAAAAAAACTCCGTCTAATGCAGCCATCCCCCCATAACCCCCATTCACTCCGAGAATGGTCTTGGTTAACAAAAGTGTGACTTTTTGAGCAGATGTGAAGGAAAGGAGGGAGTGAGGCAGGTGACCGTTCGGGGGGGAGAAGTGTTCTAGATAGAGGGCACTTGAGAATGGGCACTGCTCACCATGTTTAGAGAAAAGAGTAAAAGAGCCGGGCGCGGTGGCTCAAACCTGTAATCCCCAGCACTTTGGAGGCAAGACGGGCGATCACGAGCTCAGGAGATCGAGACATCCTGGCTAACACGGCTGAAACCCCGTCTTCTACTAAAAAATACAAAAACTAGCTGGGCGAAGGTGGCGGGCCGCGCTGAGTCCGCAATACTTGGAGGCTGAGGCAGGAGAACTGGTGGCGTGACCCGGGAGGGCGGACGCTTGAAGTGAGGCTGAGAATCGGCGGCCACTGCACTCCAGCCTGCGGCAAAACAAGTGAGACTCCGTCTCAAAAAAAAAAAGACATAGGCAAAAAGGTAGTGAAAACTTGAGTAGCCAGTGACTTTTGGAGGCAGCCCGAGAGGGACTCATCTGCATTCAATCTTCATCTGCGCCCCACCTAAATCTTCCTCTTTGGCCCCTGCCATCAGCCCACAAAGGGCAGTCTCACCTATGGCAGTAATGGAGGGAATGAAGTGACCCGCCTGTTCGCTTTTTTGCCAGTGAGCGAAACAGAAGGCCTCAGAGAGGTGGATCTAGCTGAGTGTGGTGGGCTCATGCCTGTAATCCCAGCACTTTGGGAGGCCCCGTCAAAAAGGGCAGATGCACGAGGTCACGGGTTTCAAGACCACGAGCCTGGGCCAAGAATGATGAAACCCATCTCTACTAAAAAATAGCAAAATTAGGCCGGTGTCAGTGCAGTGGCCTGTAGATCCCAGCTACTCAGGAAGGGCTGAGGCAGGAGATCTGCTTGAACCTGGGAGGTGGAGGTTGCAGTGAGCCGCAGATCCCGCCACTTACACCCCAGCCTCGCAGTGAGCAGAGCGAATGACTCCATCCCTCCCAAAAAAAAAAT